CTAACTTTTTTATTACGGGTGTTTGTTTGGATGGACCAGCTCGATATGATCTAATAAAGTGAATCTAAATTGATTTTTATTTTTTATAATTCAGTTTTAAAAAACCGAAACATTTTAAAACAACATATAATTAGAATATTAGTTAATTTTATTGAAGAAACAAAAGCTAATTATTTAGTTGTGATTTAAAATTTATAAACAACTACTTAAGATATATATTATAATTTAATATTTGATAGATAATTTTTTTTAAAGAAAATACATATTAAGTTTTTTTATGGGTAAAACTTTTTGAATATATTTGAAAAAATAATTGATTATATTATTATATTAATAAATAATTATAGATATATATTAAAAATAAATTAATAAATAATTGTTATTCAGTTTCTTTTTTATACATCAAATCCAAAATATTAATTCGCTTTTATAGAAAATCAATCCAAAAATATGAATATCCAAATCAATTAGTCTAATACAAGTTGTCCGATTGAACAATTCGTTTTTTATGCGAATAATAAAAAATCATATGTTTTATTATTGTTTTATCTCCTAATATTATAATGAAATCAATTTAGATAGGGCCACTAGATTCACCATCCTCACCTCTAACGATCTCCTTTACCTATTAGGAAAAATATCACTATAGCACAATGAATTTATGTGTTTGTTTGACTTGACTAATTTTTTTCTTGCACAATAAGTCATCTAAATTTTACTGTACATGTCAATTAAGCCATTATCGTTAGTTTTTAACCACTCATCCGTTAACCAGTTATCTAAATTATATGAATGACCCATATGATTTAAATTTCTTTTGTGGTGGATCCCTTACCAACTATGGTTTAAATTACACGACAAAAGCTGATATATTACGAAACCCTAAGGGACCAAAGTGTAACATTCGCATTAAGAATCGTATCCATTTCAAAAAAAAGCTTGAGCTTCTTTATCAATGGTGGTATCATCTTCGCAAGGTATGTTTTCTTGAACAAGTCTCAACTTCTGTTTTAATCATTGGTTTATTTTTTGTTCTTCACTTAATTTCTTTTTAGTATCCTTGTAGGTCGTCTTCAAATTTTTGAGCTCGTGTTTGCATATCGTCTTCCATTTTTTGAATCTATGTTTGAAGATCATCTGCTTCTTTTCTTAACATGTCTGCAAGAATAATCTGGGATGAAATTGAGGATTCTAAAGTAATCACCATGTTCAAAAGCGTATCAATCGTATCTGCCAATTCTATAATTATTTGTAGATTCTTCGATACACCTTCCAAGCTTTGATTTGATACGTTTCTAATTTCCAGTTTTTTTCTTGTTCTACATTTGATTCCAGATTATATTTTTGTTTGATTGATTTGAGTTTTTGTTTAGCTTGATCGAATCTCTAGTACCCTAATTTAACATCGTACCTCAATTTAGTTTGTTGATCTTGTAACATAGCTAAGGTCTCTTGATATGAGTTCAAAGCTTCTTCTACCATTAAAGTACCTTATTTGTCTGATTTGAAATAGATTGAGATGGAGGAGTCATAATCATTTTCTAATCCATCTTCATGGATTCAACTTTATCACGGACACCTCCAGTTCGTGTTTCAGTTGGAGCAATTGGTAGATCATTATTCATTGTCGTTGCTTCACTATTTGCAATTCTAGATCCATAAACAGTACCATTCGAACTGGGTGTAGAAACCGTGGAATTCTGATTTGGTTATGTAAAATTTGAATTGAAAATGAAAGAGTAAATCGAAGAGAATTAGGATGTAATACTCCCATAAGAAACAGAGAACTAGTTGTACCATTAGGTTGCAAATTTATATTAGCACCACTCGTACTTGAACCACCGAAGATATTCAAGAACTATAGAATAGAAGGATTAGAAGAAGATGATGAGAATGTTACACTTTGGTCCCAGGAGTTTCATAAATATGGCAATTTTGGTCGTGTAATTTAAAATCATAACTTGTAAGGGACCCACCACGAAAGAAATTTAAATCATAAGGATCATTCGTGTAATTTAGATAACTGGTTTAACGGATGAATGATTACAAACTAACAAGAATGGCTTGATTGACATGTAGAGTAAAAGTTCGATGACCTATTGGCAAGAAAAAAAACACAATTGGTCAAGTCGGACAAAACATATAAGTTCATTGTGTTACAATGACATTAACCGTACCTATTATATATTCATTTTTATCGTCTTCTTCGTCTAAACCACCTTTTTCATTACAACTATGCTTTAAAGCTTCAATGTCCTCAAAGGAATCATGATTTTTTAATTACACTCTGGTAATGTCTTCAATATGATGTTTCCGGGTATTGAATTTCATCTTCATCCTTGTTTTAAAAAAAAAAAATCAAAGCCACTCCCGTCAAAAGAAAAAGTGAAACAAAAACACAGGTCAAAAATCAGAGCAATAATGTCTCCATTGTCAAATACATGTGGGTTTGATCAGATTCTCGATACATCACCCCTTGCAGGTTTTTTTCTCGAAGCATGACCTCATTATAGATCGATCCACCTTTCAAATCTTATAATCAACCAGAAAATCAAGTAAAAAATATGCAAATTTAGTAATTTACGCCTCCAATTAAAGAGCATCACCATAGTCTAATTATCGATAGAAATGGAACTCTTACATGGGGAATGGCACACGTGATAAATTTTGTAATATTACTTGTGAATCTTTGCGATAAAACTCCCTCCAAGCTACTCGTCGCGATCATAAAACCATACCTCCCGTGTGAAGCTTTGTGTTAATCCAATCTGTTAATACAAAGAATTTCTAGATCAAAGTTGTTCTTGTTTCTTGTTGATGCATATCCAAGAGATTATGGGGCCTATTTATTTTAACAATATTTTTTTTTTCTAATTTATCACTAATAATAAAGAAGATTAAAATAAAATAAAGAATAGTTACTTAAAACTAAAATCATAATAAAAAGATACCAGGATAAAATAATCTGATAAAATTAAAATCATAACAAAAAGATACCATAAGAACGGGTCCAAATTAAAAATATATATAAAAACTAAATACAGTATTCGGTATTCCAAAGTACATAGACCATTTGTGTAATTTACTCTTTAGCTAAATTTATATAAAAAAAATAAAAAAATAAAAAATAAAAAAAAATAAAAAAATAGAAGTCAAGATTATTGGTTTAAGAAAGTCAAACTTAAACCAACTAAAAAAATCATACCTAGCCAAGGGACCATATGGACTTTATAGTTTCACCATTAAATGAACTTAGAGCTTCTTCAACTAAGCTAATAGATACCTATTCGACCTTAACCACCAATCTTTAAAAAAAAAAAAAAAAAAACAAAAAAAAAACAAATCAAACTTTTTTCCTATTCATTTTAAGAATATTTAATAAATAAATAGATGGTAACGTATAAAAGTTCAAATCTCTTTTTGTTTATTCTTCTATAGTTTAAAAGAAATATTCGATGATGTATATGCACCTCAAAACATACATGGGTGATACATATTTGAATTATACATGTTTTTTTTTTCAATAATTGAACTCGAAATTTTTGAAGTTTATGCGAAATATATTCAATGATGTATATGCACCTTAAAACATACATGGGTGATACATATTTCAATTATGCATGTTTTTTTTTCAGTAATTGAATTCGAAATCTTAGAAATTTATGCGTAATATTTTTACATGAACGAACTATTGATCAAGAAACAAGTAGCGATGATGTATGTATATCAGTGTATGCACCTCAAAACATACATGCATGGGTGATACATATTTGAATTATGCATTTTTTTTAAGTGTAATTAAAATCTTCGAAATTTATGCGAAATATCTTTATATGAATGAATTATTGGTCAAGAAACAATTAATAAATTGCGATAATGTATCCATATCAGTATAAGCATTTGAAAATAGTGACGGAGCTAGATGGGACGTTAGGGTACATTACCCCAAAAAATTGTTATATATATATATATATATATATATATATATATATATATATATATATATATATATATATATTATTTATAAACATATTTTATGTTATTGTACCCCCAACTATTGTTTTATATATATTAACAATGTTTGTACTTTTATATCAAAATTTCTGGTTCCATCACTACCTCAAAACATACATGGAAGATACATATTTGAATTATGCATGTTTTTTTTTTCAATAATTTGAACTCAAAATCTTTGAAATTTATACTAAATATTTTTACATGAACTCATTATTGATCAAAGAAACAAATAACGGGATGGATCTGCCATTGAATTAGCATGAATCACTTTCTATTGAATTAGCAATTGCTTACAAAACAACGAAGGTGACGTTCATACACGATTATAACCCCTATATACACGTTTTCAAGAAATGTAAAATATAATGTGATATTGACAACTTATAATAAGATATAAACTTAAATGATAAATTCTTCTTTTATCTTCCAACCAACTTTATCATCTGGAGTAGATGTATTATTTTATTTTATTTTCTTGAATATGGATCGAGCAAATCTCATCATGACATGGATATGACGTCGATATAATTCTTATGCATTTTCTATTCTGTTTCTTATAATTTTCAAAACAAAATTATAAGATCGTATTTAAAATTATATAAATTTTATTATAAAGTATATATATTTCAATTTATAATCCTAAAACTGGATCAAACCGGAAGATAAATAACTAAATAAGATGGAACTTGCTCCATAATCCTCTCACATTTCCAGCTTGAAACATTGACTTTTATTTTATTTTGTTTTTATAAATACTGGAAAAAAACGCTAACTAACCATAAAACAATATTAAAAATACAATAAAATATAAACCATCATCTCCCATGTACAAAATTCTTCTTTTGGAAAAATTAAAAAATAATCCACATTGTGATCGTCAAAGGGTATAGAATATAAACGTAAAATCTATTAAAAACTGTAATTAATTTACATATAAAAAGGTGAAACTTTCTATAATAATAATAAATACATCAAAATTAATCTTATCGTAAAAATAATTGGATTGTAGTTGGAACCCCCTTCCCAAACCGAAATTCTAAATCATTTTCTAAAGGCGTTAAGTTCAAATCCAAACTAAAAACCCTTCTACTATTAACTTTTTTCACGACTGTTGTAGGAGATTCAGACGATGGAAACGACTTGTTCTCATTGGTTGTGTTTGCTCTATGCCTTCTCATATGTCCACCCAAAGCTTGCCCTATAGCGAACTCTAATCCACATATCGAACACTCATGTGTTTTGGGCTTAACAGGAACCACGTTGGTGCCATGTGTCAACTCGCCATCAGTACTGAGTCGAGGCTTCTTGTGACTCGCTCTATGACCACCTAGTGCTTGGAAAGAAGGGAACTGACGATTACATGTCTTGCACTCAAAGACTCGGCTAGGTGAGTTGGTTTCATGATATTGCTCGTTGCTTATTGGATTTGAACCCCTTGAAAGCATCATCAAGCAATTAGCCATGTTGCTTATGGCTGTATCTAACTCAGCTTCGTTGGATCTCTTCATCGGTAGATGCACCATTTATTAAGATCGTAAAGATGATCAAGAACAAATATTTCTTGGGGTTTTTAATACAGAATCTTGAAGAACAGGTTTTTTTGATGGAGGGTTTTCTGTGAAAACAAGAATAGAGTTTGTTTATGCGCAAATGGATTGGATATGAATGAAACAAGAGTTGATTGGGTGATTGGGTATTTATAGGTGACAAGTTTTGACTTCTTTAAGTTTGACCGGAGAGTGTGGACGACGAAAGTGACACGTAGTTGCTTGTGGGATTAAAAGCAGTTGAACACGTACGTACAGGTGAGCCCGATTTAGTTGAAAAATTAAGGGTACTAAAGTGTAAAAAAGGGAGAATCGTGGTGTGAAAGCGAAAATAGTTTAGCCGACTAGCCATCATGGACCACGTAAGTGTGACTAGAAACGGGTTAGTCGTGGAGCCGCCGAAAATTCAAAAACTCAGATTTTGAAGCCAAAGTAGGACTTGTACGGATTCTAGAAAGAGTCACGGATGAAAAGATCTAGATGTTATTTTTGTAGGTTTGTTTATTGATGTAGAAAAGTTAAATTTAACAGAATTATCCTCTCGACCTCTGGTTTATCTTTTAAAATGATTTGAATTTGTTTTATGAGAAAATGATTATTCTGATTTATAATTTGTTATAAATATTTCAAAATTATTATTTTTTCAGATGGGAGAGTGACTTGAAAAGGTAATGAAATTTTAATTTTATTTATATTTATTTACTGAATTTTTTCAGTGCTTGATTTTACATGGTTCATAATTTTTCAGGTTATCAATGGCAAATTGTGCATGCAAAATTGTACACCGTATCAAAATTCTTGAAGATAATGACTTGATAGGGTAAGATATTTTTTGAAATGTACACATTTAATCCTTATTCTTTATTTTTTGTAAAATAAACCCTTATACTTTATTAATATGTACACATTAGGTCATTTTCACTGGATTCTATAGGTTTTGCTGACGTGGAAATGTTTATTTTACACACAAAAAAAAAGAATAAGGACTAAATGTGTACATTTCAAAAAGTATCTTACCCTATCAAGTCATTTTCCCTTTCTTTTATTTTGTTGAAATGAAATACCCAGGTGGCATCCACATATCCACAACGAGATTTTTCCAACTTTTATTCATCATGAAAAAGAGGGAGAACCCCGATCTCCAACGATTCCTTTGTGTGTTCCTACACATCACTGGTAGCAAGGAGGAATGATGGTCAAAACAAGGTCGAAGGGGGGGGGGGGCAGGAGGAAGTAGAGACGGTAGTTGGCGACGAGGAGTTGCTTTGGTATCCCCCTCGTCGATTCTTTCTTCTTTTTCTGGCAACATATCTCAAAGATGGAGGCAAAGAGAGACAGATCGGAGAACACAAGAAGTAAAGGGTGTTTGGTTGTTGTTGTTCAATCGGAAGGAAGAGAGACGAGAAAGAGAAGGGTCGCCACCATTTTCTTGTTGCAGGAGGATCACCCACCTCCGGTGACTAAGCTAATTAATTGTTATTTATTGTCACTTGTGCTTCCACATCAGCAAAACCTATAGAATCCAGTGAAAATGACCTAATATGTACATCTTAATAAAGTATAAGGGTTTATTTTACAAAAAAAATAAATAATAATAATGACTAAATGTGTACCATTCAAAAAGTATCTTACCCTATCAAGTCATTTTTCCTAAAAGAAAATTCGTATATGACCGGTATACCGGGTATAGCCGGTCACAAGGATTGCATTGTTACAAAAAATAAAGTATAAGGGTTTATTTTCCAAGAAAAAAGAATAATGATTAAATGTGTACATTTCCAAAAGTATCTTACCCTATCAAGTCATTTTCCCAAATTCTTATTTGTAAAATTCGTTGAGTAAATTACACGAATGGTCCCTATGGTTTGGGGTACTTTGCGCGTTTGGTCCCTAACTTATTTTTTTAACTCGGAAGGTCCCTACTGTTTGTTTTTGTTACACGCTTGGTCCCTAATGTTTGTTTTTGTTATGCGTTTGGTCTCTGTCTTACCTAAAACGATCATTATTTAAAAATGAAAAAATGATGGGGTAGGTAAGGTAAGGTGAGGGGTGGAGTTCGGGGTGTGTTTATTTAAATAAATTTAAAAAAATCAAGGGTAAAATAGTCTTTTTAGGTAAGACAGGGACCTAGCGCGTAACAAAAACAAATAGTAAGGACCTTTCGAGTTAAAAAAAAATAAGTTAGGGACCAAATACATAAATTACCCTAAACCATAAGGACCATTCGTTTAATTTACTCAAATTCGTTTCTTTTTCTGCCAGTAAGTTTAGTAGTAGCCATTGCATTGGAAAGTTACTTTTTAAATTTTGCTTGTCATTTCGGAACAAGCATCAATGACATCAATCAATACATGTACAAAAGGTGCTAATTTACGGTCTATATTCCCATCATATATAAATCTTTCTATGTTGTTTGATTTGGTGCCAATAAATTTATGTTTAGAAAATAATAACATTCTTACCAATACCCTAAATTGAAATATATAATAAAGATAATTTACGATAATGATGTCAAGCATTTGCTAAACTTTATTTGTGTGTGTGTCAATGTTGTAACCGACCCAAATAACCCGAAACCTAAATTGGATGAAAGGTGGGAACCGAAACCCGGATCGATTATATTAATATAGGACCAGTTCGGTTCGGGTAATACGGGTTTCGGTTCAGTTATAAACTCAAAAGGACCGAAATTAATATTTTTTTTCTTAAACTAGATATAGAATTTCCTTATTTTGGTTACTCATGTCATTTCACTTTATATGAGTTATTTGGGTCATTTTGGTTTATTTTGAGTTATTCAGTTCAAATGACTATTCACTTTTTGAGTCGATCTTTTTGGCTCGATTAAACCCTTATTTGGGTAACCCGGACCGAATAACCCGAAACCCGAATTGGGCAAAAATAGATACCCGAGAACCGACCTAAATAACTTATTTAGTCCTAATTCAGTTCGGTCCGGTCCGGGTTTCAGTTTCGGTTCGGGTATTCTGTCCAAACGCACATACCTATTTGTACATATGTATCTTGTAGAAATTATCTATATACATAAATCTGCAGCATGGAATTGATCAACCAATAATGAAATTGATCAACCAATAATGAAAACTGATATGATGGAAAGGGCCTGGAGGTAATCTATATACATGGTATATTAACCTTCCATATGGTTTAATAGAAAGGGGCCCTGTGATAATCTATCGCACATGGGAAACAACAATCAAAGAGGCATACTAATCTCTCCTATGGTGTCTTAAGATTAGAGGTGTACAAACTGAGAATCCGATTTGGTTTGGCTTACGTAACTCGAAATCCAATTTTGATCCACTCTTAATCGGATTTCAAACTGATTTGATATGATTTTGGTTGGGTTTGACTTGATTTGGATCCAATTTTAGCAAATCGGTTCAACGATCAACTATTGAATCCGATTTTGTTAGTAGGATTTAGATTTTGTTATAATATGGTGGATCAAATTAATCTGATCTAGTTTGATCAAAACTCAGTTTTGATCGGATAAGATCCATACCCGGGATCCGATTTTTCCATGAACTTCTTAGGATATTGTATATGAAACCCCAATAATAGGTATTCAGTGTTTTTTTTTTCACAAAACCAGGGATTTTCATTGAAGAAAGTATTATATAAACGTAACGAGTAAACGAGCAAAAAGCTGTACCGCAACCTCTTTTTGCATGGCAACACTAATTCTTTTAAAAACAACATCTATAAATTTTAGGGCTATAACATTACTATGCATGACCCGTGATGTTCTAATCCCAAGATATATAGACGTAACGGGTAAACTAATTCTTTTTCTCTAAAGAATCATAACTATTTTTGTGATGATTTTACTACAAGCAAGGATGTTGATTATGGAGACATGTTTCTCCTTTGTTAAAGAAAGCAACCTAGATCACCATGAGCCACTATTGGAATATTGTATGTGGAAACAAGTAATTATAGGGATGATTGTTCTACGTATGAGATATGATGGAATAAAACATCTTTATGGGGTCTACCTCCCCCGTGCCATTTTTATGCCATGTTTTTACACTAATGTCATCACAGAGGCACTCTCTAACAAACACATATCAAAGCTTACAAACTTTCAAATTTCAAGATCTTAAACTATTCTACATTTGAAATTCGCTAAAGAGGGTTTTTAGTACAAAACACACACACACACATAGTAGTTTTTAATCTCCTTTTGACATGTATCACCATATTAAACCTCATAATTAATGCAAATTTTATTTTTCTTTTGTCATGTTTCACCTTATTATGTCTTATAATATAATTAATGCATATCATTTGTTGATTATCCATTTCAAATTTCAAATTTTAAATTTCTCATTCGAATTACATTAAATTAACAATATTAGAATAAAAATTAAAATAAAATTAATACAAATTACAAAGTGATATAATTTTACATATTTATTTAAATCAATGATTATAATTTTATATAACTAAAAAAAACCTCTTAATTGATAATTTATTTAAAGAAAGTTATTAAAAATTTTAAATTTTAACTATTAAAGTTTAATTAATTTTATAACCGTGATTCTCACGAGTTATAAACTAGTATATATATACATATACTAGGCGAATATCCGTGCATTGTGCAAAAGCATCTATATAGCTGAAATCTTTACAAATATATGTTTTTTTAAATATAACAATAATGTTGTTGTTAAGTTTGATATAATAATTCGTATACTAAGTTAATATAATATATTGATTATTTTGAATTATATGGTAATATATACATCTATTAAAACTGCATAATCTCAATCTATTGAATGACATCTACCTGCGGGTTACTCATGTATAAAATTAAATATAATATATGGTTTAATGTTATTTATAGTTGTTGTTATTGTTAATTAATTTTTTAAAATTTATTTGCTTAATGTTTTAGTTTTTATCATTATAATTATTTAAAACATCAAACAAATTTG